CTTCAACCTTTTCCACCATCGACAGCCCGGACGACGGAGACCGTCGGGAGAGCTCATGCTGCCGCCTGCGGCAGGCAGGCAGGCAGCCACCATTGCGTCACATTCGTGGTTGTTGTCAAGTCATAAAAAGTCGCCGAATAATGCCTTGTTTCTTTCTTTCCACGTTATTTGGCCGCGGGATTCTTCCAAGTTACATGTAGCGGCGGGATACCGTACCCCTGCGGACGGGGAGGCTTTCGCGGGTTTCCGGGGTTTGGCCGTATGTAGAGGTGTACCCGTCTCGACCACAGCGGAAGGTGCACACAATAGAACGACCGAGCAGCTCGTGGGCCACCCGTGGCCCGTAGAAGGATCACTCATACAAGCAGGCGTTTGGGCTACGTGTTCGGCTGACGGTTTCATGTCGTTTTCATTTCAGGCGAAGACTGGACGGTGGGGGTTGATGACTGTAACAACAGAGGATAGAGCGAGGAAGGGGTTCGGACAAACAATGATCTTTGTAAGGAGATGTTCTAAATAGAAGGAGCGCCAGCCGGCACCGTTTACAAACGCGCGCAGAGCACGGTATTTTAGGCGCGTGTTCTTCAGATGCCCGCAGATACAATTATGTTTCCCTCTTATATATCGCTGTCCACACGCCGCTTCGCAGACCCAGCAAGCCTGGGCAACCACCGTCTTTCCGCGTACACCGGGTCACAGTCATGGACATCACGGAGGTCACCTCTCCGACGTACCATCAAACTACCTGTAAAAAGGTTCCAAGATGCAACTGCTGTTGTCTAGAACATGGATGCGAATTTCGGGGGGTACATAGCCCTTGAGACGGTTGGCCATCGTCCCATCCCCCCCATGGCGAATGCTTCAAATTTTGGATGCAAAAGGGTTGCTGGTACAAGTTGATGGACGGAAGGCGGTGTTGATGAACACTACTCGTAGATACTAGACTTTGTCTGCCGCCCTTCCTCCTATGCATATATATATCGCACGACAACAACCGGGTGTTTGACGCATCTGGCGGCGGAGAGAGTTACGGGAGGCCGAATCCATCCCTTTCGTTTGACACGAGCATGGCAGACAAAAACTCACGCGCCTGGCCGTGTGGTGCGGGGGGTAAGGTGGGCGGGTGTGCGAACAGCACGTGAAGTTGCGCTGCGTACAGCAGCAGCAGTTTCTACCTACAGTACCTACAGTAGAGAAACCGCATTCGAGACCAGCAGCGTACATTGGGTACAAAGGCCAGGTCATGGGTTCGAGTCCCGGCAAAGTGAGTTTTTTCTCACTAAATAAATCCTGGTCTAAGTTGGAAGCGACGCGCTGCAATCCCTTCTTGCGATAAAAATATCTCAGGCAGGAACCGCAGGAGGGGGTCCAACCCCCCCTCCTATGTGACCCCGGTTGGGTCGTCTAGCTATTAATAGTAGAAGTGGAGGATAGGGGCCAGAGGGGCAGACGACAGAGTCCAATGATGGGAGAAAAAAAAAAATGCACGTTAGTCAAAACAACCATGAAGGAGACGGTCCTCACCCAGCAACTTGCTTGAGTCCCACCGATGGCACGAAGGCGGCCGCCGGCGCGGCGGCCACGGCCACAAGAGCAGCAGCGATAGAAGTTGCCTTCATGGTGGCTATCTGAGGGCGGAAGGGGTAGATCACACACAAGGGCACACGCACAGCGCAAGGAGCGGTGCGGGCGACATGAATCGACTTGAATCATGATCCTGGTGGGGGAGACGGACCATTTTCAAATATTGCAGTTCGACCTCCTTATCCCAAAACGCATCACGGCGGAAGAATCACTGACCTTCGGGCGCGACGAAAAGATGGCCGTTGTGTCGGAGGAGCAAAGGGGGGGGGGGCGAGGAGATAACAGAAGAGTCGAGGTAGAGCGGGCGGGAAGACAGCAGCAGGAATTTGCGGAGGGGCGCCGCCGTGGAGACAAGGCATACCCTGAATAAAACCGGGTACCAGCAAAAGATCCCCCTGCCCGTAGCTTAGCTTGACCGTCACGCACGAATCATAACACAACACAAGAGCCAGGGAGGGGCCCACACCAACACGATGCAAGACGAGACTCTGCTGTATGGGTTGCTCACGCAACGATGGTGAGTTGGCGTCGTAATGGCTGAATGTCGGAGGGAAGCGCACCTTGGCACACGTGACGGAACTAAGGAATAAAAAAAACACACACAGAAAGACTACCCATTCGAGATATACCCACAGCAGTCAACGGGATGTGGTGGAGTCTTTTCAGTGAGTGGAACAAAAACATACGGGGTACCAGTATCTATTGCCCCGAACAAATCAGCTCGAAGTCTTATCTCCCAAACGCAATGCTCGAACATGCTATTTTGTTGTGTGTGCAAACAGGTTGCTACGCTACTTAGTACACCGCGACCCTGGCGTAATGTCTAGGTACTGTGAATTCAAAACCTGGGATTACGCAACCCAACCCATGTACACTATGTACACTATGTTGACGATTGACAGTGCTATGCACTCTAAAGTCAGTACATTAACTAGTGTCTACACTTGTACAGCAGTATTGCTGGAGAACAAATATGGTACGTATCGCACAAGTACACATTCTAAATGTACCCATGCATTTGTAATGGAAGTAAAGTATGCACACATGGTACCAATGCGGCTCTTTTATCGATTTGACTTGAGGCCGAAAAACTCCGCTGGTCGTGGTCATTTTCCGATTGCGGGTTTTTTATGTAAGAGCAGAAGCTCTTGGTGATGTCCACGTGCCGCTCTTTTGTATCTGGTACTTCTCTCGGTTGCCAGCCGTGCTGCTCTGTTTCATTGTCTGCCGTGTGTGTCTCGGTGTTGTGTTACACAATAGTATACCGAGCGCACTGGCCGACTGACGAATCGAGAGGTACATAGGTCTTGGCGGACAAATACATGTAGCCCGTGTGCCTACATAGCTGTGTGTGCGTGCTTCCTGTGCTTAGCACCGAACGCGCTAACCGGTTGACCTGTGAGAAGACGCCACAGCCAAAATTGTGTGCGTGCACACGAGTGTGCTTGTGTCCCACGCTCTCTCCTGCTGCTGCTCCTTTCTGCGTTTGACTTTTGGCCTGCTTGTGCGGCGTATTTTGGTGTACGTGTACAACCAGTTGGGATGGCATCGCGAGCGACTTCGAGTGCCAGAAGGCGCTGATAGCCAAGCTGCTCGGGTACCTGCTGATTCTCGGCAGCTTGACCGTCAAGGCTCCGCAGGTACGCGATGCGGCAGTTGGGTGTCCAAGTAAGGGATCAAACCGCCCCGACTCTTGGTGCAAAGTAAAGGGCGAGCGATCCGGCTCTCCCGTGCGGTATGGTTGGTAGGCGGTGGATAGACCGCACGCATGCACGCACCGGCACCAAGCACGCCAAAAACAGCAGAACCGCATGCCTGTGCGGAGCTCGCCGTGCGCCGACATCAGTCGGAGACGTCCAGTAGCGCCATGTCTCCTTCTCCAGGGCAAGGTGTTGTGCTTTTTATTCGAGCGAAGCGGGATTTCTAATCTCGACTGCCGGCGCCCCGAGTTGCAAGGGCTCGCTGACACCTAAAAAAAACTTGTGTGTCTGTACGCGCTTTATCTAGGTTTTACAGTATAGACCTCTTACTGGCTTTTAGACCACAGGGGTCAGCATACCGTCCCTTATTTTTTTTGGAGGACACAGCGGATTGCAGCAGACAACACACGCACAGCAGACAGCGTACGCGTAACAGGCGACACTCATGCACAGCGGGCGACAGCATCTGGGCTCGATGCCGCTGGATTCTCTGTGGTGTGATGAGGGTATGCATTGTGCTGTCTGTCGTGCATGTTTTTTTTTACCGCCGCGTTCATCAACTGCCAGCAACGTGAGCAAAGCACCACATTAGGACACCTACAGTAGGACGCCGATCGCCACCGGACCACTTCGAGCGTGTGATCCATTGTGGTGTCTCTGGGCATGGGTGCTGCATGTGGCGAGAGCATCATGGCGATGTAAAATCCGGTTTGGCGTTTTCGCCTTGCGATGCGGCCCGATTGCCCGGGCCAAAAAAAACGATTTGGATTCCACGCCGCCACGAAGGTCTTCCCACACACAGCACCCATGCCTAACACAACTGTCACGGCCCGAG